CAAACCAAAATGGCAACCAAGTGCGTGTGTGTTTCCGATTATCAGATCGAAAAGACTATTGGCAAGGGGAATTTCGCGGTGGTCAAGCTCGCAACGCACACCATAACCAAATCCAAGGTAAGGGAGCTCGGCCAACACCTAGCTTCATCGTCACCCCCGTCTGGAGCCCAGTGTTAATCCCGACACACTTGATGATCTGAGAGCCTTATGTCGCCTCCGGAGGGGAAGGCGGCCAAGAGAACCTCCTGGGCGGCGAAGACAGGGGCGGGGGGGCGTGGGCAAGGGCGGCCAAGAGAACCTCCTCGGCGCCGAAATCAGGGGCAGGGGGGGTCGTGGGGAAGGGAGGGCGCGGGGGGGGGGAGGAGCCGGGGGGAGAGAGACACTTGTCACACGCGAGGCATCTTGGGAGGAACATCAACCACCTTACACTGGCATTCCTCCTGCCCCCTCCCCCCTCCCCCTCCCCCCTCGTCTCTTGCCCTCCCCCCTCACGCCCCCTTCCCCCCCTCTTCTCCTTGGCTCTTGCCCTCCCCCTCATGCCCCCTTCCCCCCCTCTTCTCCTTGGCTCTCCTTCCTCCTTATCTCATTCCCCTTACCTTTGCTCCTATCCTTCCCTTTTTTTAACTTTTTTTTCCCCTTCCCCTTCTTTTCCTTCCTTCCTATCTATTTCCACTCCTTCTGTCCTCTTTCCCCTTTTCTCTCTTCCTCTTCCATCCATTCTCTAGCCATTTTTCCTTTCTTGTACCTCTTTTCTCTCCCATCTTCTCCTCTCCCCTTCATCTTCTTTCTCTTTCCTCTTATCTCTTTCCCCTCACTGTTGTTTCTTTCCACTCCCTCTTATCCTTCCTTGCCTTCTTACCTCTCTACCCTCCATCTAGCCCTTTCCCTTTCTCTGTTGCCTCTCTCCTCTTGCTTATTATTTCTTTCCCTTTCTTCTGTTGTCTCTTCCTCCTCCCTCTTATAGCTTTCCACTCCCTTTTCTCTCTCTCTCTCTCTCTCTCTCTCTCTCTCTCTCTCTCTCTCTCTCTCTCTCTCTCTCTCTCTCTCTCTCTCTCTCTCTCTCTCTCTCTCTCTCTCATATCTCATTTCTCCTCTCCACTGAATTTCCCCTTTTCTGTCTTGTACTCATAGTCGTAATGCATAATTTTGGGTATGTGTTTATAGGCCTATGTTCAGAAGGCCTTGAATCTTGGTTTGAAGTTAATTTGGAGGCAGGAATGGGATTCGTTCTATTTATGCCTTTGGTTTTTTCTTTCATACTGGGGTTTCTATGTGCTAAGTAGTATTTCTGAATAAATGAATATAGTATTTCTATGTAGTATTTCTATGTGCTGGATGTATGTAGTATTTCTGAACGTTCAAATTCAGTTGCACTCTCTCTGCGAGGTTTACAACTTGAATGTTTTTTGTGGGATATTGTTTGTTGAGTATTATGTCTAAAGTGATTTTGAAATTAATAACGCAAGTTATTGCAATATTAATTTTCAATATTATTTTTATAGAGAACTTGTTTTGTATACAGTGCTTGTAAATGTACTTTATTTTCATATATGAATTAACATTATTTATTATTATATTTATTTTGGTTTGTTTATGATTTTGATTTTTTCTGTCAAAGTTATTCTTAGAAAAGAATAATTGTTCTGTTGATCAAACTTGGTCTTTTTATTTTGTGAAAGATATTCAAGGTTGAGAGATCTATGGTAGACACCCATAGGTGTTTTCATAATGGGATTTATTTTTGCCGTAGTTATATTTGTGATGTAGCCATATTCACTGGAAGGCCTGCAGTCTGAACTACTATCCATTTATGGTGCAGTATTAAGTAATCACAATGGCCTCTGCATTTTGTGCTCCTGCAAACCTGCCCTATATATTCTATTAAGGGATATTTCAAGCAGATTTCTAGTTTTACAGCAAATGTCTAAAGATGCCTACCAGTGCTATCTTGCCAAAATATATGTGGTTTGGCAAAGCACCAAAAAGTATGGAGTGAACTTGCAAAGAGTACAAGGTGTTTTTTGTGCATCTGCTAGATATATGACTGTATCAGTTGAATTATTTTAAAGCCTTTGTCATGCGGGTCGAAATGCGAGAAGGAAGTGGAGAGTGAAGTGGTTAGCCGAAAAAATTTAGTTGAATTACTCTGAATAGGTAAGCAACTTTGTGAGTGAGAGTGTTGAAAGTGCATGAGAGAAAAGTTCATACTCAGACCTGTTCCTTTGCTAAAGCTTAGAATTTGCATCTCGGTGAATTTAAGGAATTTGTGAAAGAAAGTTTCAGCATTCTGTTTTGTATTTTTATGTACATAAACAGTGGAAGTGAAATTTTAGTGCTGGTTTTAATGCTCAATAAATGGTGAAAAAACTTCAAGACCTTCTAAAAGAGAAATAGGAAATGCAATTGAAAAGGATGAGAAACCACTATTTTCATATTTCAGGTTTGGTTAAGAAGCTTAGTTAATCCAAATCTGATGGACATGGCATGTACATACATACAT